AATGTTTTTGACGCGCGAAAACATTAGCAGACCACTTTTCTCTGCGTCTCGTGGGTCTGCTAATTATTTTTTATGTAAATAATATCAAATTTTCCAGTGCATCCCCCTCTATTGGCTGATGGTCTCCACTACCGGTATGGCACAGGCTCAGCTGCTCCGTCATCCAAAAATCAAGGGAATCTTCGGAATCAAGGCGCTCCCCACCGACTCGACGACACCAATTCGGGACCTTTTCAAAATGAGAAATGTCTAATTTTTCTTTTCTTTGTTATTATATCTTTTAGTTGTCATAGGATATTTAATTAATTTTTTTTCGTTGTTAATTAAGAAGGATAATTATGAGGAATTTCAATTTTCATATCGATCTTTTTAGCCATAGTTACAGCGTTAGCCATAGTTACATCCAATAGGCTCCACCCCTTTTGCTGTGTTCTTTAATTTTCGAAAAAAAAATACAAAGTCCAAGGTCTAGGTCATACAAAAATGTACTAGAACTTCGAGCATACCAAACTATACAATTTTTTGTTTACTCGAATTTTGTTGTAGGCGAGTTACAATTTAACTTTCGATCTTTCTATTTCTTGTACCTAAAAATGACTCAACCCAGAAAATTAACGAAAAAAAGTGGCAAGGCGAAAAACCTTAGCAAACATTTGTAGAGAGTAAAAGTCCACTAAACATAACTTCGGCATAGTATAAAAGGAAATGAATGGAAAATGTTTGAACTCATTCTAACAAATATGACCTCCTTCTTCTCACTTCTCGCTATTCTTGCTCTTTTGGCTTTGGCCTCAGCCGATTACACACCACTATTCTTGAGGAATCAACCGAGAAACGTTCAGAATGGATATTTTCAAATTATGAGAAATTTGAATTTGAGTCAGCAACAGCAGGAGCAACAATTGGCACAATGGGCTCAGATGAATAATCTTTCGGTGAGTTGGAAAGCTTAGAAATGGGTCTAGGCTAGTTTAGGCCAATCTGAAGACATCTACACCAAGTATTGGGCAAGTTAAGGACAAGTCAGAACTGCCAAATACCATAACTTCTTTTAAAATCAATATTTCCGACCCAACTAAATTGGATACAGTAAAAAAAACTCGAGAACTACAAAATAATACTGATTGTGTTACTGTATATGGTCTATGAATTAAGTTATGAACCATAAAGCGGTGGCCGTATGCTTCAGATTTTGTAGCTCTTAAGTTCTTTCGTCATATCCAATTTAGTTGGTATCAAAATATTGATCCTGAAAGAAACTATGCTAGATTAAGTCAACCCGAACGTAACTACCTAACCTTCAACTTTGGGTCAATTTATCTCGATTTCTGTGAAAGTTATCAAAAAGTTGTCAACTGATAAATTGTTTATCATAACATCAGCAACATTTTATTAGTTGACTACTTCTTGATACCTTGCATAAGAACCGAGATAATTGAGCTCAAAGTTTACAACAAGTTCAGGTCATTTTAGCTCAATTACTTTTAAGAAAGTGAAGGCGAACTTTGAGCCAATTTATTTCGGTTCCTGTAAAAGCTATCAAAGAGTTGTCAACTGGTAAAATGCTTATCATAAAACCACAAACATTTTATCAGTTGAACATTTTTTGATATCTCTTACAGTAACTAAGATAATTAAGCTCAAACTATTATCTTTAATTTCTCTTCTTTTCCAGACCCAATACTCGAATTTCCTTCAACAAGAACGCCAAGCAAATCAAGCATTGAGCCAAAACATGTCCCGTATCATTTCTCGCCTCCCTCAAGTTCAATCCCAACTCGAAGCGATTCTCCAAAATGACATTCAAACGTGTACTCAGGAACTACAAGCTATTCAGAACCTCCGACGACAGTACCCACAAGAAGTTCCAATTCTTGACTATATTCGAGAAAAAACCTCAGAAGCAATGGGAATGGATGATTAAGGATTTCGAAAATGTTTGATTGTTATCCTACTGTAGCCACTTTTCAATTTATGATAAAGTTTCATATGCATCCAACTGCTTTCTTTAAAATAGCTACCATTAACTTTGAGCCAATTTATGTCGGTTCCTGTGGAATATATCAAAACGTTGTCAACTGCTAAAATGTTTATCATAATATCAGCTACATTTTATCAGTTGACAAATTTTTGATATCTTTCATTGGAACTGAGATACAGGAGCGGCCATTTGATTTACCTCGTAGGTGTGTAGTACACGATGTGTACTTGCCATTGGCAGCTGCCAGACGAACCGTGGGAAACCACCATCTCGAACAAAAACCTTTTTTTGCTTTTCCAGATTTTTCAGATTTATGAGACCAAGATCCGATCCATATGACTTTCGAGACTTGATCCCGGAATCGGTCCCATGCGGAGGTTTTTTCTTGCACTATTAAAGAGCATGAATCAGAAAGAACACTCTGGAAACCTTGAAGATTATCAAATAGAAATTGATGGATTCCAGATTTGAATTTCTTGATTGTAGACTTTCAGCCACATTCCTAATTGTGAGTAGGATATACAGATGCATCAATTATAGAGGCATTTAAAGAGACAATAGCTACCGTAATTCCTCTATAGAGGCTATAGCCACCGAACCGCCAACGTTGAGCTCAATTATCTCTATTCCTGTGAAAGATATCAAAAATTTGTAAATTTCTGAAATATAGATAATTTGTGGTAAACAATTTATCAGTTGAAAAAATTTTGATATCTCTCATAGGAATCTAGATAATTGAGCTCAATGTTGGCATTGCTCTATATTTAACATCTTTCCCTGGAACCCTGATACTTATGGTTCATGTTAAGTACAATATATTTCATATGGAAATTTCCAATTTTGAGAAAAAGTATTATTTTTGGATGATGTCAAAATTTTATCAGTTATCATTGGAATCTGAAATGTGCTTTTTGAAGCATTTCCAGAGAAAAAAAACAACTTGCAGCTGCTTCCTTATTTTTCCAGAAAGACAATAACAAGTTATTGGTTTTATTGCTTTTTCATGCCTCCCAATTAGGTCTGTCCACTCAGAATTTCATTTTCAATGCTTTCAAATGAAACCAAACTAAACAAATTTTTTAAAAATATTTTTTCAATTCCTCTACTGTTTGTTTTCCTATGAATAATCTTCTCATTTTCTAGAAATTTCCGCACCACCTACTTCTCAGTACTTACTTCTTTTCTTATTATTTTATCATTTTTGCATATGATGTGTGTCTACACATGTTAATATAGAATTTTCAGATTTTGAATTTCCTAAAAATGTCTTCTAACACTACTCAAATCGTACAAAATTCGGATTCCGAAGAGCTAGAAGAAATGGCAAGGGAGGATGTTTTATTGGCAGCGGCGATTATCTTTTTTGTAGGTTTTTAAAAAACTTATATTATTAAAATTTTATTTTCAGGTTGCATTTTTCGGTTTAATCTTCAATATACTGGGGATTACTGTAGTTATGAAAAATCCGATTCTCAAAAATTCCTTTGGTACTTTATGTCTAAGCCATTCAATTGCTAATAGTGGTGTACTGTTTGTCTTTTTTATTTGGTCAGCACCAGCGACGTATATGTAAGTTTTGAGCCCATATATCTCATTTCCTATGAAAGATATCAACAATGTGTTAACTAATAAAATGTTAGTGATAATATGATAAACAATTTACCAGTTGACAATTTTTCGATAGCTTTGACAGCAATCGAGATATATCCATTCAAATTCAAAAGTTAGCTTTTTTCCAGACAAGCCCAACATACAAATGGAATGATAAGTAAACTTCTGGGTCAATTGAATATTTTATGCTGGGATGCTTGTGTCTATTCTCATTTGGCAATTAGTTTCAATCGATTCTTTTCGATAGCCATTCCAGCAAGGGTGAGTTTTTTGACCTAAACTTGTCCTTGGCTTGTCCTTGGCTTGTTCTTGGCTTGCCCTGGTTTTGTCCACACTTTGCCCATCTTTTGCCCAGCTCTTGCCGTAAAATGAGACTTTTTAAACTGTACTTCTTGAATTCCTAACCTTGTCCTTGGCTTGTCTTTGGCTTGTCTTTGACTTGCCCTTGCCTTGCCTTTGGTTTGTCCAGCATTTGCCCAACTCTTGCCCTTTCTTTTACCGTAGCTGGTTTCTTATGAGACTTGTTTAACTGTACTTTCCATGTCCCTGACCTTTGCTCAACTCTTGCCCAACTCTTGCTCAACTCTTGCCCATCTTACAGGCCAGCTTCATTTTCACCCGCCACAACACGCTCGTCATCATCGGGATCGTCTGGTTCATTGCATTTTGTCACATTTTCCCCTATTTTTGGTGTGAGTTCTTATAAAATAATGAGGTCACGGTCTGCAAAAATCTTGTGAGATAAGAAGATCAAATGAGTCAGAAGAATGTGACTGAACTTTTGAAATAAAAAAAAATTGAGAAAAAAATTCCAGACGATGAGTGCTACATAACATATGATCCCATTTCCTGGAGCTGGAATTTTGCACCTACTAGATGTGGACATATAATTTCAACGTATACAGATTACTATACAAGTGTAGCCATTTTTATTGCGATGAGTTCAGTGGATTTTGCCACACTGGTAAGTAAAACCTATAATAAAAGAGCTGTCAAGTTTGAGCAAAATTATCTTGGGCTCCTATGCAAGATATCAAAAATGTGTCAATTGATAAAATGTTGCTGATATCCCGATAAATATAGTATCAGTTGACAACTTTTTGTATCTTTTATAGTAGCCGAGATAATTGAGCTCAAAGTTCAGTGTGTGGGCCCCACATGGTTTCGAACTGTTGTGGTATGCTGTTGCGCTTTATTGAGAAAGTGACATAGCAAAATTTTAGGTCATTAAAAATAGAAATTTCCGCAATTTTTAAATGGTTGTTTTTTCCATTGTCACTTCACCTTCTCATTAGAGCGCAACAGCATACCAGCAAACCCTGTGCTTCTCCCTCCCCCCCCCCCCCCCTCTCACACTCTCAACTTTGAGCTCAATTATCTCGGCTCCTATAAGAGGTATCAAGAAGTTTTCAATTAATAAAGTGTTGTAGATAATACGATAATCATTTTATTAGTTGACAAATATTTTATATCTATAACGGGAACCGAGATAAGTAAAAAAGTTTCCAGGTGCTTCTCATCATTCATCGCAAACATAGCCATTTCACTTCCAATGATGAAGCAGTAAAGCGGCGAAAAGTGGAAATTCGATTTTTTATGCAATCTTGTCTTCAAGGAATTTTATTTTTCTATGAAATTTTCAATTTTTACTATGTCTCAACATTGAATACCAACCAATGGTATGTGTTCTTCACAGCCACCTTTGCATGGGAGATTTGTCATTGTTTGGATGGGTAAGTGCTGCATTTCCTTCTTATCTTGGTTCTTATCAGAGATATCAAAAATTTGTTAACTAATAAATTGTTCATCATAATTTGAATAATATTTTATTAGTTGACTACTTTTTGATATCTTTCATAGGAACCGAGATAATTAAGCTCGAAGTTGGCAAATCCATAAATCAGGATTATTTTAGATTTGTCGTGGTCCTATTCCATTTCCGTCGTCGCATCTTCCTGGAAGACAGTACTGTGGTAAGGAACTTCTTCAAAAAATCAAAAAGTTCCAAAGTTTAGCATCCTCGGAGATCTCAGACTAATTTTCAACATCCCACCATGAAGTCCACTAAAATTAGTTTGCTCTGAAAACAAAAAAAGGTTTCAAGCTAAAAAAAAATAAATATAGGGAAATTTTAAAATTTTCAGAAATAATTTTCAGTTCACCAGAGTGCGAGGGCAGTCGGAGATGACACGGTCAATAATTTCAAAGCACTAGGAACATTTTCTCTGGGAGAAGGATTATTGTAATTTTGGAGGAGCCCACCAAACCGGTCCAACGAGATTTGCTATTTTGATTTTCAAGAAATTTGAATAAATTTATGTTTTTCTAAAAACTTGTTTCACAAAAATTCGAGTTTATGTGTGCTATAACTTATAAGTTAGACTATAAAGATCCAAAACACATTTAAATATAAAATATATAATTCTCAGAAATATCAAAAAATCATTCAACCAAAAAAGCAAATAGGATTTTGCTCACTTTCCCATGAAACTCTTTTCTTGCTCATTTTCCATCTCTTGCTCTTGTTTTTTGATTCTAAAATATTCAAAAAATAATGGTAGTTGGCTCGTTAACTGAACAATATGCTGAAACCCTACTTGTCTCAATGATTAACTTTTTTGTAAGTTTAAAGGGTTCCCCGCCCTGTCAACTTCAACCTGATTTATCTCGGTTGCTGTAAGAGATATCAAAAATGTGTCAACTGATAAAATGTTTCTGATATTATGATAAGTATTTTATCAGTAAAGCAAATTTTCAAATCTTTGACAGTAACCATGATAAATTGGCTCAAAGTTGGGTGCTCTTTGAAGCGTGTCTTTTTTTCAGACCTGCTTCTTCGGTCTCCTTATAAATTTACTGGTCATTATCACTATTCACAAATCTCCTCATTTCGTTAACTCATATGGAACTCTGGCAAAAAATCACACATTTCTCAATATCTTATGTCTACTGGTATACCTTTTATGGGTTACTCCAGTAACCTATACGTAAGTTATCTGTAATAAAAGAGCTGTCAAGTTTCAGCGCAATCATTTCAATTTCCATGAGAGATATAAAAAAGTGTTAACTGATAAAACAGCCCTTATGTTATGTTAAACATTTTATTCTTTAACTAATTTTTCCTAGCTACCGTAGTTTTTGAGATATGCGCCTTAAAGATGCCCGTTCCATTTATTGTCAAAGGCGCGTTAATTTTAAAGGCGCATATCTCAAAAACTACAGTAGCTAAAAAATATTTGTCAACTGATAAAATGCTGCTGATACTCCGATAAACATTTTGTTAGTTGACAACTATTTCATATCTGCTATAAAAATCAAGATAATTAAGCTCAAAGTGGTTATAGCAAAAAATCTTTAAAACTCAAAATTTTCAAACTATAAAATACTTTATCCTAAAACTAGTCATGCAAAAACCAAGTCATTAGTCAGAACTTTTGATTTATTTTTAAGCAAAAGAAACGTGAGGAATCTGATTTTGGGTTGCCTTGAAGAGAGCGAGGCATGAGAACTTCCTTGTTTAGAAAAGTAGAAATTCTAAAAACAATTCAAAGAATGACCAAAGTTGACATCATAGATAATACGAACAGTTAGACAGTAGAGAGCATACTGTAAGCCTCTATTAGAAAGGCCCCTCTAACTGAAGAGCTCTCCTAGAGATCCCACAAGAAATATAATGCTTTTTTTTCAGCCAATCACTCTCCACCGCCACTTCAACCCTTGGAAAAGTCATGGGCAACTCCATATCCTATTCTGGACCTCACTACTCTATTCTCATCTATTCCTATCTTTAAACCGTCTCACATCCCTACTATTTCCCCCAACATCCCGCTTAATATTCTCCCATCTTGTCTGTCTTTCCCTCATCCTCTCTACCTGGTTGATAGGTCTTCTTCACATCATCATCCCATTGCTATGGTCCCATACCTGCTATCTAATTTATAACCCTGCCACGTGGATATGGTTAATGAGCGGAACAACATGCGGGAACACACTTGTTTTACAGTATCTATGCCTATTTGTGGCTGGAATCAGTTTTCTGTTAAACTTATCCACGTGGATTTCGATATCTGAAGAAACAATCAGAAGACATCCAATAGAGTCCAAGTTACTGAGGGAAGAGTTATGGAGAGCTATGGGGTTTCTGATGGCTGCGACGTCATCAAATGTGCTATCAGGATGGTTGGGAGAAAGATGGCAAAAGTATGCGTTGACTTGTGTGGTATGGCAGGGATATCATCTATTGGATGGGTAAGGAAGTGGTAAGACTACTTGGATGAGAAAACATATTCAGATTATTCGTTCTGGTGTTCCACTTCCATCGCAAACTTCTAGCCAAGCATAAAATGGAAGAACCTCATCATACTCTTTCATTCATCCACGTGGATCATCCAGGACGTCACTCCTCACCTCATGCTCCTATAACTCATCATCCTGTACATTTTTCTCGAGTTGATACGTCATGACTATGTATGGTTACGCTGGTTACCTAATAAATGTAATAAACTATACCTTATGTTTGTTACAATGTGTAAAAGAAACAGATCACTGTCAATGCATTCCCAGGAGCCGAGAAGATACAGTGACGTTGTGGGAGGGACCATGGGAAACTATGGGGGACCATGGGGTGAAGTGGCTGCACCGCATGCAATCCCAGCCCCTTACGATCCGATGTTGGTACGTCTTCATATGGACTGACTGGACAAAAATAAAGAGTTGCTGTCTTTTTTGGTCCATTCGTTACCTTTTTTTTCATTTTAACAGCTTTAACTTTGATTGTCTTGCTATGCCCTAACAGAATCGCACCTTCACTTTGAGGTCTATTATCTCGGTTCCTGTGGAAAATATCAAACATTTGTCAACTGATAAATTATTCAAAATAATATTTTCGATAATTTATCAATTGACTACTTTTTGATATCTTTCACAGGAAGCAAGATAATTGAGCTCAAAGTTTAAATTGACTCTGTGTGCTACCGTAAATGATCTAATAGAAGTCAACCTAAACCGTCAAATTTGAGCTTGATTATCTCAGCTCCTATAAGAGATATCAAAAAATGATTAACTGATAAAATGGTAATCTTAAAATCAGAAACATTTCATTAGTTAACAAGTTTTTGGTCACCTAATATCAATTTTTCAGTTCTATATAAAACCCTTCAAAAATGTGCACTACCATCGAATCCTCCCCACCCTTCACCGTTTCCAAGATCCTCGGTCGAGGCGCCTTTGGTGAGGTGTCGCTGGTCACTTTGGCCGGCAACCTATCCCAAATGGTAGCTCTCAAGACCATCACCCAATCTCCAGCTGCTGAGGAAGAATTTAAAATCCACTATTTCCTATCAGCAGATAAGGGACCTCAGAACCTGGTCAAAATGTTTTTCAAGCATAACCAAGGTACCCAATCTCTCTTCTTCATGGAGTACGTAAGTGGTATTCTAGTGGTAATGAGTATTCTGCATTTCCAGATTCTGTCTCAAAATTCTCATGTATGTTGGGTAATCAGAAAACCGTTCATTACATAAATTCTTTCCAAATCCTTGTTGTTCAAAAAACTTCTCAAACTAGAACATATATTCCCATGATACCACTTCCTTGTTTCTTTATTTAAGCATCGGAAGAAATATCATGAATAGAGATCCAAAAAAGAGTGTATAATTGGGAGAGGGAATTAAGGAGATATTGCAATAAAAATAAAAAAATAAAGTGACTACTTTTTATTGCTTTTGATATCACTAGCTTTTGAGAATATCGTAGTCGGCTGGGATGCCTTTCGAAGGAAGCTTCGTTTGAAATGAAACACCACCACCACCAGTCTGAAAGTTATATTTAATAGTACTGTGACCTGAAATATTTCTGGTCCCAGATTTGATAAAACAAATTAAGCTGAGAGATACTCGATAACTAAACTTACCCGTCTAAACAATGACACAACTCCCAGGCAATAGTGGATGTCATGAATACAAACCATTGATTTGTGTTCAAAGTGACAATGTAATAAAAATTGAATACTTCATAAAAGAAAATGATTCCTTGAAGGCATGACTGTGTGAAGAATCTGATTTCTACACGACGTCGTCTTCTGGTTTCACTGTCCGATGTTAAATGAGATTTACGGCGGTACAGGACTAGCATGACCTGCAAGAATTCATATTCTACTTCTCAAATATAGCTTTTAACATACAAAAGTAGACAAATCTAGAGTACTCATCACAACGAAAATAGCTATACTTGAATAGTTGTCCGTAAAAGTGGAAATCACGTAAGTACAAGGAGTATCTCCAAAAACCCATGTCCAACTAACAGGATCGTATACCATGTAGCAAGTGTCTCTCCAAAAATATGGTGCCATGTGACCAAATCCCATGGACCAGACGAATAAAATAATGAAGCATGTATTACGGTAGTTGAATAGATTTGTCACTTTTGTTGGCATACACATTGTAAGGAAACGGTTTAATGAGATAACTAAGTGAGAGTAACAACATGCGTTCCAGAATAGAATAGTGATTTGGCCCAGGGTTTTTCCAAATGTTAAATCGGTGTATTTGTATTGTCTGGAATATTTGAAGTGAGCTATTGTACAGTAATCTTAAAAAGGAGCACTTGCATGATAGTAGTAGGTGTCAACCATACACAAAACACAAGGAGTACACCGAGATTTGCAACAGTATGGCTAAAACAAAGTGCTCCAAACGCATTTTTAAGTATTGGATTTCTCAAAACAACTATTCCAGCGATCACATTGAAGATGCATCCGGAGAATGACAACTGTAAATTTTTCAAGATACTGTACTTGTTCCAGTAGCCATATATGTACGCACACTTTGACCTCATTTATCTCGGCTACTGTAAGAGATATCTAAAATCTGTCAACTGATAAAAAATAGCTGACTTTAAGATTAACATTTTATTACTTGGTCACTGTTTCATATCTCTTATAGGAACCGAGATAATTGAGCTAAAAATGAAATTATAGGGAGAGCTTCAACTTCCTACCAAAAATATGACAATCGATGCATAGATATTCTCGATTTCAAATATAACAGCCACTACATCAGTCGCGTTACCTGACATTGTTATTTCAAGGAATGAGTATTCTGCATTTCCAGATTCTGTCTCAAAATTCTCATGTGTGTTGGGTAATCAGAAAACCGTTCATTACATAAATTCTTTCCAAATCCTTGTTGTTCAAAAAACTTCTCAAACTAGAACATATATTCCCATGATACCACTTCCTTGTTTCTTTATTTAAGCATCGGAAGAAATATCATGAATAGAGATCCAAAAAAGAGTGTATAATTGGGAGAGGGAATTAAGGAGATATTGCAACAAAAATAAAAAAATAAAGTGACTACTTTTTATTGCTTTTGATATCACTAGCTTTTGAGAATATCGTAGTCGGCTGGGATGCCTTTCGAAGGAAGCTTCGTTTGAAATGAAACACCACCACCACCAGTCTGAAAATTATATTTAATAGTACTGTGACCTGAAATATTTCTGGTCCCAGATTTGATAAAACAAATTAAGCTGAGAGATACTCGATAACTAAACTTACCCGTCTAAACAATGACACAACTCCCAGGCAAAAGTGGATGTCATGAATACAAACCATTGATTTGTGTTCAAAGTGACAATGTAATAAAAATTGAATACTTCATAAAAGAAAAGGATTCCTTGAAGGCAAGACTGTGTGAAGAATCTGATTTCTACACGACGTCGTCTTCTGGCTTCACTGTCCGATGTTAAATGAGATTTACGGCGGTACAGGACTAGCATGGTCTGTAAGGATTCCATCTTTTTGTACTTCAAAATATTTTAGCCAAATGAAGCCTAGAACTTACAAAAGTAGACAAGTCCAGAGTACTCATCACCACGAAAATAGCTACACTTGAATAATAGTCTGTATAAGTTGTGATCACATAACCACATGGAGTATCCCCAAACACCCATGTCCAACTAACAGGATCATAAGCCACGTAGCAAGTTTCTCTCCAGAAGTATGGGACAATATGACCGATTGCCATGGACCAGACGAATAAAATAATGAAGCATGTATTACGGTAGTTGAATAGATTTGTCACTTTTGTTGGCATACAAATTGTAAGGAAACGGTTTAATGAGATAACTAGGTGAGAGTAACAACAAGCATTCCAGAAGAGTATATTGATTTGGCCCAGGATTTTTCCGAATGTTAGTTCAGTGTATTTGTATTGTCTGGAAATTCTAGTGTGCGCTATTATAGTAGTGTAAAAGAGGTATTTAGTTTTGCATCATGAACACTCAGTGCCCCGCCCCTCATTCAAAGCAGTCAAGTTTGAGCTTATATATCTCGTTCCCTGTAAAAGCTATCAAAAAGTGCTCAACGAAAAAATTGTTCCTCATAATATCAGCAAAATTTTGCTAGTTGACTACTTTATGATATCTTTTAAAGAAACCGAAATAAATGGACTTGAAGTCGAAAGTTAAGGAATTCCGCTATTACTCTAGTCTGATGCTCGTTGTGACCGAAAATACAGTTTGAAGGTGTGCCGTCGGTCCAGTAGCGAAAAAGAAGATTTTTCGATTAAGTGCATGTGCCTTTAATACCTCTCAATAAGTTTAATTTTTGCCTATTTCACTTGTTTTTGCTTTTTTTTGTCAATTTGGTCAGATTCTCATTAATCTCTAAATAAATTTCCTTTTATAATAAAAAAGAAACAGCCAAAAATAAGCCTAAATTATTCGATTTTTTGCAGCTGGACATACGATGCGCCTTTAACTGTATGCTCGCCCGTAACGCTCAACGATCACCGCCTGAGTAATAGCTGGAATCGCTGGAATCGCTCCCGAGCTAGACTTGAGCTTACATAATAGTAGTCGGTGTCACCCATGCACAAAACACAAAAAGTACACCGAAATTCGCAATAGTATGACTAAAACAAAGTGCTCCAAACGCATTTTTCAGTATTGGATTTCTCAAAACAACTATTCCAGCGAGCAAATTGAAGACGCATCCGGAGAATGACAACTGCAATATTTAATTTTTAAATAAATAAATTTATAAGAATTATTCAGCTATTATCGTTGTCTGTGAAAACCAAGGCTTAAAGAGAAATATCTCAATGTTTCTTAAAAGCGCAAGTGCTTAGTGCCACCATACTTTGAAGCTATTTTAAACATTGTTTGTCTATTTTCTCGATAGTTCGATGATTTCCAGCGTTTTAAACCATTTTCATTTGATTTACATTGAAAAAACGGTGAAAATCGTCGAAAAATTGAGAAAATAGGAACAAACTACTGTTGTTTCCGCTTTTGTGCCATTTCGTCCTCAACTTATTTATCTCAGACAGCGATACTAGGTAAATTAGGTAATTTAACTGAATAATCCCATTTAAAGATAATTATTTCCTACCAAAAATATGATAATCGATGCATAGATATTCTCTATTTCAGAAACTATAACAACAGCTTCAGACGCGTTAGCTGACATTGTTAGTTCGAGAAACGACTATTCTGAATTTCCAGAATCCCCTTATAGTTCCCACGACTTTCATATGGACGTCTATTGGCTGATAGAATCACATGTTGCACACCTTTTCTCACACCTCTTCCGACTACTTCAAGTGCCACGTAATCAGTGCAAAAAACGATCATCTAGGTGGGCGATCTTACAAATGGATGTCTCAGAATTCCTTTGTACTTTGAACCCAACAAGAAAATTGGTGTGTTCTTCGCCCTTCTTTCAAAAACAGTAACAAGGAAAACGTAACAGAATAACATGAAAATTAGCGACTGAATGAAATAGAATAAGGGGACCCATTGACAGAATATGAACAAAGTTTCTGAGTTGCGATGAGATTGATCGGGGCAGAGGCAAATATTAGATAGGGAGAGAGGATCACAAGAATTACAGATTATTACAATTAGAAAGTCGGGACGAAGAAGAGGCTAGTCAATGTTGAGACGACGGTTGAGGGCGCTGACGTAAGCCTGATGGATTTGGGAGACGAATTCGTCGTCGGTCTGCATCAGATGGACGATGGCAGAGAGGAACTGAAAAGCAATTTTCGGAATTGAAAGGGATTCTGATTACTCACCTGTTCCTTATTCAACACTGGTGTTTCGATGCCAGAGCCCACAACGAAGGATGCGTCAAAGGGCTCCAGAACCTCTCCCTCCGCAACGTCTACATCCTGATCTCCCTCGGATCCGTGCACAGACTTCGTGGAAATTGCAGCCAGCGAGATCGCCGACGGAGAGTTGGCAAAATCCTGAAGCAAGTGATTCCGGTGCGGTTTCGCAGTCTTCAGAAGATCCCTTTCCAGCTCATCAGCAGACATAGCGAGTCCTGGCTCTTTTAGCATGAGCTTTTGAAGAAGAGCTGGCATTTGTTCTGGCGCCGGGGTAGAGATAGCTGGTGGCGAGTCTTTGACGGCAATCGTGGGTTTGGATGAGTTCTGAGCGGATTTTATCAATTGGAGAAGATCGATAGTCTTGGATGTTGGAGCGGGGGCCGGGGCACTAGTTGGCACTGGAGTCGATAGTTGAGGAGCGGGTGAAGCCTTATTCGATGAGGCAGCAGCCGCTTTCGCCTGTTCTGTGGTGCTTCCTTTCAGTTTATCCACCAATTTTTGTAATAGAGCGGCAATTCGTTGAGCATCTTCGACTTGAGCGAACCAGAGAGCTTGAATCGAATTGGTGTCTTTGTGGAAGTAGATAAAGTTTCCATCATGGCGAAGGATGTGGTTCAGGGTGAGTGGCTCGATGAAATCGTCTGGATCGTTGCGATTGGCGATGAGGAAGCTGAAAATAATAGAAATTTAGTGTTTTTTCATCGATTTTCTATCAAAAATCTCACCTGAAGTATGGCCGATCGGCTCGCTGGTACACAAACAAAGTTCCTTCGCAATTCGAATTCATCCACTCTTTTTTCACAGGATCTATGCGATAAATCGCAACGAACGGGATCTGTAACACAAAAATATACAAATTTTCACTACGAATTTGCCGGAAACCTTATCTAGAATCTTGCTAGCGGCGATGTCGATCTTTTGAAGTTGAAGGAGATTCTTTGCAGCCAATTCGGCGGCGGCGGCTCTTTTTTTAGCGTCGGCCATCGTTTCTGAAAATGTAAAAGAATGAAAAATAACAGAAAAAAGCAACTAATAAAGCAGAAAACAGAGCGAGAACCGGAAATCTGCTAGAAAATTAATGGAAATTGTGATGTGTAGATTTACGCTAAACTCAGCGCACCCCGTTATTTCGGAGCATCGTTGTTTTGCGAATTGCGCCAAATAAACAAATTCGGAAAAAACACAGCCGATTTGTGAAAATTCACTACGATTTTTCAAGAAAAAAAAACAGAATACTTCATAAGAGCCAGATATATTTAGAAAGAAAGACAACAAGAAATAGTTAGAAATCTAGGCAACCAAGGCGTCAATCTTCTTCGCCCACGTCTCCACATTATTCGGTTGGGCGTCGGACAAATTCAGTAGACTTCTGAATACGATATCGGCGATGGACACTTCCCATTGAGAGCTGAGTGAGTCGAAGCGTGCCAGGAATTGGGAAGCTTCACGAGTGGCGTACGAGAGATCTCCGGTGCCAAGAAGGATTTGCTCGGCCCAAAAAGATAGAATTAATAAATCCCTTTTTATACATTCCTAACCTTATTAAGCCAAATAGCCTGATGACTAGCACTGAGGACTTGTTGTGGTCGTCTAGAGTAGAGCCCTAATGCCGATCCCAGAACCTTCCAGATAGTCTGAAGAGATTTCACAGTGGTCTTCTCGATCTGCAACGTTGGCGTTCCCTTTCCTTTCACCACTTTCACTGTACTCTTCTTCTCTTTAGCCTGATTCTTGACTTCTCCTTCAATCGACACTCCTCGCTTTTCTCCAACCTTCGCCAAAGCTTTCACCCAGGTCAAATCCGCTTCTCTCACTGTGAGTGTCACATTTTTCAAGTGTTCTTGCTCGTAAGCAACCAAGGAAGTTGGAAGATTCACTGTAAGCGTCAGATTCGTTTCCCACGTCTTCCGATCATCCTCTACAGTCCACTGGTTTCCTGAAGATTTCGCAGATGTCTTTGGGGCTGGAGCGGCACTACCGGCAACTTTCTTCACAGCTTCAGCTTTGGCGGCTTTTCGAGCCTCCTTCTTGGCATCCTTATCTTTCTTTCCACCTGCAGTAGCGGCCTCTGGTGTCGCCTCTTTCTGTGGTTTCTGCGCTGGTTTAGCACAAACCGGAGCTCCTTTAGCTGGTGCCAAAGTCACGAGAAGGTTATTAAGCTGTTCAGTTTGTCCCTTGAGTCTCTCGATCAACTCGAGCTGCTTCTTCTCCAACGCCTTGCGAGGGTCACTCTCGGTCTGAAATTTTTGAATTCATGAGAATTTCAAGCTGTAAAACACGATTAAAGCGAACCTCAGCACTTTGTGTAGTAGATGACTGAGTGCCGGTTGCTGGATTGTGATAGGATGCGACGCGATAGCATGCGATTTTTGGGTTGACCTCGAAGTCAGACTTGAACGTTGGAGTGAGCTTGTACATTGACATTTTACCCTGAAATTCGTTTTATTGGAATTTATTTAATTTTCGCAAAATATAACAATGAGAAGAAACGATTTTTAAGCTTGCCAACAGTCGACTGTCAATCACAAGTCCTAAAGTCTCAAATAATCCCAGGCGGTTGGAAGCAATCAGACAAATGAAATTTTTATTAGTGAAAAGGGAAAAGCATTCTAAGTTTTTCTTTATAAAAAATGTTTTCAAAAACCAGAAATTGTAGAGTTTCAGTCAAATAAAAGCTCAAGATTCTGGAACTCTGTTGTAAAGTTTATCGAAACGACGCTCCGAAATAACGGTTGCGCGCGGTGTTTAGCGTAAATCTACACGACATCGGCTCTTCAGTTTTCAGCTTCCCAACTTTTCCAGAGGCCGTATGCAAGAAAGTGGAAAACCGTTTTCCGATGTTTGGAAAATGATTTTCTGACAGTGTGAAAATATTTATTTCGATTTAAAAATGGATTCGGGGCTAAAAATGACTAAAAATGCATGTAATCACTGTAAAAATTCTTGCCAGACTTCCAGAAAATCGTTTTCCAAACTCCGCAAAACGGTTTTCCACTTTCTTGCATATGGCCTCAGATTTTGTAAATAGCCGGTTTTTGGAGTCTTTTTTCGAATTTTTAGTCGAAAAATTAAAAAAAATTAGGTTCAAGAACCCTTGGAACATAAAACAATCGTAGATTGCTGGTGTATAGCATCGGAAATCTTATTTTTACAATCTCTTATATTTTAAAACTGATTTTCTCTTTCAATGTCTTTCAATTACCTAAGCCCCTTTATCTAAATGGCACTTATTTTCAGCTGAAAAAATGCCGTTCATGCACGGTTCGATGCCGCTCCGGCGGACATTCTTCTATCTACAGCAAGGAAAAGTGAAGTTCCGTGACAACGTCAACGTCTTCGCAATGGGTTTTCACCGAAATCCCAACGAGCAACAATCGGGCGCCCGCGACTTTGTCTACTGGCACTGGGCTCAGTTGCAGTACCACAATCCCAAGGTTCAGCTCGTGAAGCACGCCGACAAAGTGATCACACCATTCGCCAGAGCTTATTTGAGTGAGGAAGCCTTCAAAAATAAGGGAAATTATTTCTTTTTAATTCTAGATGATGGTCGTGAGGTGCTCTTCGATTTGGACGGTATGAGGCGAGAGGAAATCGAGCAGGCGTTGGCGAAAACGCTAGGGAAGACAGAGTTGGTGGAGCGAAGAGAGCATTTGGAGAGTATTGCCAAGTTGAATCCCGCTGATTTTGGTTCCAAAAACGAGAGACAGGTTGGTCGGAACCCTCTTGGCTAGCGTGTAAAGTGGCTTGACTCTAGGTGAAGATCAAGCCTGGTCTCTAGCTGTCATAGCTAGCTTCTAGCTATCACTGCTATCTTCTAGTTATCATAGCTAGCTTCTAGCTATCATTAAAACCTCCTAAATCAATTTCTTCCAGTGCATGTGCGAAGTACAAGGTCAACACCCGTGTACCGGACTTCTACGAGCGCCCAAGTGCATGACCGGCAAACAACGATGGAATCATAATCTCATTTAACTTCTTTGTTTTGTATAGATCCTTCTTCCTAGTTTTTCTTGTTATTTTTGTTTGTTCCGATTAAAAAATCTTTTCCAAATTACCCTAATTTCAAAACAAAAGTTTCAGGACCCGCCGCAAACATTATCAACCCCAACCCGCCCGTGTTTCTGCTCATATTTACATAATCCGCTCTGGCTTGTCTCTCCTCCTTATTCATCATTTTGCCTACTATACTACTATTAGATGCTCCAGAGAAAGTTGTGTCCTCTAAAATTAAGCGACCGCTCGTCATTCGTCTTCCACGAAGACGTCCGGGAAAAGGACAGCTGCCGGTTTCGGTATAGAATGTGTCACTCAACGCGTTCGACGTCTTCTGGGACTTTCAAAATTATGAAGACGTCGAGCATTTCGAATTCTGCTTTCCTGGAAGTTGCCTCCCCGCTAATTCTATCGATTCCTTTTCTCCTCTCATTTTCCGCCCAAATTAACGGTGGCCAGCCACCTGTCCAGGTGTCTTTTGTGCCTTTTACGGAAATTCCCCCGATTTCGGAATGTTTGAACAGTCGAAAAAGACCTTGAAAAAGCCTCTCTTCCCCTTGGGAAATGACAAAAAAGAGAAACTTTTTGACACTAAAACCGGAGGAGGGTATGTGCGTCTCAACACTATTTCCTTATCATATTATCAGCTTGTTCCTCTTTTTCTCTCGCTGTCTGCGTCTCCTCTCACTCTCTCGTTTTGATTGGTGAGAACAAGAAGAAGAACGAAGATGAGATGGGATCGGAGGTGTGTTGAAACCTTTTTTCTTTTTTTTGTTGATTCGATTAGAAATTTTTCTTTTTTATTTTGTGGTTTGCGGGAGAGGTAATACAGGTGGTCTGCGGAATTTTAGCAAAATGTTAGTTTTAATTTTTTTTTTTCAATTCAAAGTAGTTAGCTCAAAGCGCTGGAACATTCCGAATGCTGCTGAATATTTGAGAGTATTATAATTTATAAGTTGAATTATTTAACGATACATTCAATTTTAAACAAACTGACAGCTTGTTTGACACCGTAAAACCTGTAAAAGAAGCCCCACCTTTGAACCAATTTATCTCAGTTCCTGTGAGAGATATCAAAAACTTGCAACTGATATATTCTTTATCATAAAATTACCTATATTTTTACAGTTGACAGCTTTTTCATATCTTGCATAAAAATTGAGATATTGAGCTCAATTTTGAAAAGACAGCAAATTTAGCTCCAATCTGTTCCAGAAGGCCTATATCTTTCGAATGAATCTGTACAAAAAAGTGACCAACTACGAAAATAAAACTCTATTTTTGTTTGGTAAACTCTGAAAATTTCAGGAAAAAAACGGGCGACTTCTCTAATTCTTTAAATGAATTCGAAATTCGACTGTTGCAGCGCATTCGCTCCTCTACCTAAACTTTGAACCAATTTATCTCTCCTTCTGTGAGAGATATCAAAAACTTCCCAACTGTTAAATTGTTCATCGTAATATTATCTATATTTTATTAGTTGACAGCTTTTTGATATCTTTTACAGGAATCGAGATATATTGATTCAAAGTAGATGCTTTGGGTGGTGTGTTCAACCGGAGAGCCTACTCTATACGCAAACTTTGAACGCATATATCTCGGTTCTTAGGAAAGATACCAAAATGTTGTCAATTGATAAAATATTGGTGGTTTTATGATAAACATTTTGTTAGTTGATCACTTCATGGTATCTTTTACAGGAAAGGAGATGTATGGGCTCAAAGTTGATGCTTTGGGTGACCTTCTAATAGAGGGCCCCTGCACTTTAAGCCTATATATCTCGGTTCCTGTATAAGGTATCAAAAAGTGCTTAACTGATAAATTATTTATTATAATGTCAAAAATATTTTATCAGTTGACATATTTTTGATATCTTTCACAAAAACCGAGGTATATTTGATTAAAGTTAACTGTTTATGTAGGGGGGGGGGGGGGCACTATTTACGGCCTTCGTTTCTTTTCTCCAAATGCAAAATTGTGAACTTCTTCAAATCCTTTTCTTATCCAATTTCCACCACCACCACCAGATGCTCATTCCCCGTTCTTCCCTCATTTTCCAAATGGTTCTTCTCCCTTCGTGCTTTTTGTTCCCCTCATTACTATGTGATGTCCTCTTTCATCTTTATTCTTCATTCCCCAACCACAATACAGCTAACATTTTCACTTTTAGTACTATTCTCTCCCATTCTCTCTTTTTTTCGTCCGTTTTTTTTTCTATGTCTCCCCCCATCGCTATACATCAAAACATCATCAGAAAATCTGGGCAGGCACTGGTTTTCAACGGTTTTGTGTCATTTTGTATGTGTGGTATTTTGATGGGCGTTACGGAAAAATTTTCGGCCGGGAAATGTAAATTGATGAGTCATATCTAGCTTATCAGTCTTTGTTTCGAAGTTTGAAATCGCTCCCTGACTCGAAAATCTACTTCCTAAAGGTTTTTTGAGATTACTGTAGTTCATAATTCAAAAAAATTTATATCCATTGGATAGCTCAAAGTCTGGCAATCAGAATGCACTAAAAATCAAGTTTCTAGCACAAATTTGAAACGAGTTATGGGGTTGCAAGTTTCAAGAGAGACGCAGAGAAGCGAGAGCGCTCTCGTTTCTCTGCGTCTCTCAAAATGGCTATAACTCGCACTGGAAAGGGCCTAAGGAACTGGTTTTGTCGGGGTCCTTGTCTTGAAATCAGAAAAAGCTGAAAATCAACTTTCACATTTGATAAGAGAGTCACTAATCGTATTAGGCGTTATCAGTGGAAGCTAGTGTCCTCTGTTTCGTAGCTAAACTATCTATCTGTAGGTCCGTAAGTCCGGATGTCGGGAAATATGGATTTCTGCAAAATTTGGGATTCATAGTTTCAATTTTTGAAATATCGAAAAACCTGATTCACTATGACTTGTACCTTACCGTATTTCCTCTAATCCATCCAAGCATCACCTAAACCGCCCACCCAAACCGTCAAGTTTGAGCTCAATTAACTCGACTTCTGTACAAGATATAAATAAGCAGTCAACATATAAAACATAGAGAGATATTGTGATAAATGATTTATCAGTTGACCACTTTTTGATAATTCTAATAGGAGCCGAGATAATTGAGCTTGAAAGCGGCGCTTGCCGGCAGAGCTGCCCTGTGGCTACCAACCTCGTGGCTTTAAGCTCCGTTATCTCGGTTCCTGTAAAATATTTCAAACAGGTGTTAACTGATAAAATATTGAGAATATTATGATAAACAATTTATCAGTGAACACAATTTCCATATCTATCACAGGAATCAAGATAACTTGACAAACAGTTGGTTGAGGGTTTGGTAAGCCCTTCCATGAGGAAACAAGGTATTTTTTCTTTCTAAATTCCCTTGAACATCCGGACATCTGGAACCATCAACGCTATACGTTCCATGAAACACAACAAAACCCTGCATGACTCCATTCTCGACTTAATCCTCCACCCTCATCCTCCATGACACTCTAGAAGAGAACTGAAGGATGGGGTCAACAGGGGTGCCATAAAATAAAAACCAATAAATAACAGCACCAGTCGACAGTTGGCGTAAGGGGGTGTCCTCCTCTTCCCTACTTTTTGCTTTGTTTTTAGCTATTTTAGTTCCCCAAGTTTCAACATTTTCCTCTTAATGAGTTATGGAAGCTACGACCCCTCACTCTTTGCTATTTTTTAATTTTGAGTAATCTATGGCATTTTTTTGCACTTTTTAGTTTGAGCTCAATCATCTCGGTTCCTATAAAAGATATAAAAAATGTGAAAACTGATAAAATGTTGCTGATATTATGATAAGAAATTTATCAACTAACTACTTTTTGATATCTTTGACAGGAATCAAGATAAATTGGCTCAAAGTTGAATGGGGTTCTATCACAGGTTTTACGGTAAATTTCTAATTAACTTTTTGTATTCATTGTACTTTGTAGCCTAAAAAATACTTGATATCTTGCTCTTCCGCAATATAACTATCCGAAAAAAATTAAGTGGTCAAGTGGTGGTGGGGAGCCGGTTGTGTGTACTTTTTTTTGCCGCGAAACGAGAGGCTTCCGGTAAAACGATTAAGCGACTCTTAGTGTGACGATTGGAACTGGAGAAAGTTCTTTGTGTTGTAGTAAAATGGTTAGCCATATGTTTTAGTTAGTGCTAAGCACCGCGGGAACTAGCTAGATGCTTCTGTGTGTCGGTTTGTACGGATGTCCTTCTTTCCTTCTTGTCAAAGTTTGAGCCTATATATCTAAGTTCCTGTTAGAGATACCAAAAAGTGATCAACTGGCAAAATGTTTGCCATAATTTCAAAATTATTTTGTCCGTTGACCAATTCTAGAAAACTTTTACAGGAACTGAGCTATATGAGCTCAAAGTTAGCGGATTATTTTACAGTTTCTAAAAACATATTCTAGTCTTCTGAATGTCGGGTTGTCTAGATGTCCTTCGTAAACTTATCAAAGTTTTTTCCAATTTTTTGTTCTTCTCCATTTCTCTGTTTACTCAGTTTTCTCTTGTGTCCACTCTCTTTCCTTTTCCCTGTTACATAATCTTCATATCCAATTACCTGGGGGCTCTTGGACTCCGTCGGATACATTTCAAGGGCTTCCTAGGGGTGGTGGACAGGCAAAGTGACCAGTTTTCTATTATCCCACTAGGACTTTAATCATATTGGCTCCTAGTAATTATAGAAAAATGTTAGTTAGTCAGTGAAATGTGTGAAATTAAATGGCATTTATCGTAAACCCTATAATAGACGCCCCCCCCCCACCTAACTTCTAACTTTTACCTTATTTATCTAGGTTTCTGTGAAAGATATCAAAAAGTGACTAACTGACAAAATGTTAATGACATTATGATAAATAATTTATCAGTTGACAACTTTTTGATACCTGTTACAGGAAGTGAGATATATGAGCTCAAAGGTGACAGATGTCCCAATGTCCACACAGTCTTATGTGATCAAGATACCGTCAGCTTTGACTATATATATCTCGGTTTTTGTGAAAGATATCAAAAAGTGACTGACTGATGAAATCTTAATGACATTATGGTACATAATTTATCAGTTGTCCATTTTTGATATCTGTTATAGGAGACGAGATATAAGAACTCAAAGTTGGCGGTTTAGAGTACTTTTTCTACACCCTTATTTGAGAGACCGTCCACTTTGAGCTTCTATATTTCGGTTCCTGTAGAAGGTATCAAAAAGTTGTCAACTGACAAAATGTAAATGACATTTAGATAAGTAATTTATCAGTAAACAACTGTTTGATATATTTTATCAGAAATGAGATGTAGGGGCTCAAAGTTGACCGTAGGAAGTATTTTTTTTCTACACCCTTAAGAGACAAAGATACCATCAACTTTGGGCCCTTATACCTGTAAAAGGTATCAAAAAGTAGTTAACTGATAAAATGTAAATGACATTCTGATAATCATTTTATTAGTTGTTCACTTTTTGATATCTGTTACAGTAACCAAGATATATAGACTTAAAGTGGACGGTTCAGGTACACACTCTTCCTTAAAATCATTTCACAGTAAAACCATGCAAATTCCGACCTACTTATTCGCTTCTGTTTTCTTATTTTCTCACTTATTTTCTCATCTTCCATTCCATTTCTTTCTACTCTCTCTCTCTAATTTTCTCTTTTCCGAAACTGTTAAAACGACCGTAAAACGCGCGGCGCGGATACTATTCATCCCCCTATTCCCCCTATAAATTCCCCCCCTATAAATGGGCCCAAAAACGGCGGCAAAAAGATTTGAAAACGAAAAGAAAAAGAAGAAGAAGAAGAAGAAGAGGAGAATATACATATGAAAGGGACAAAGCGAAATTTCTATACTTCTTCTTTTTAAGAGACGAAGAAAAAGAGAAAAGAAGTCAGAAATATGGCATAGTTGACTCATTGGGAGGGTTTAGTGGTCTTTCTCAACTCGTTCGATTTTACGTATTCCTTTAAAATAGCAGTTTCTTTTTTAAATTCAAATTTGAAATTTTTTTCAGATGGTTCTAGTCCACCACCCAACAACCAGTGGTGGTGGTACCCTACTGGAACGGGCGGATCTATCCCATCCGATTCCTGAAAACGCTAGAAAGCTCGCCCAACTTGTGGAGTACGATGAGAGTCGGGTAGAACTTGGGACCCATTCGGTATTCGTGAGAGAAGCCCGTCCACCAGGAGCCCATTATGCAAAAGCTACAGTAATCTTTCTTCATGGACAGAGCTTTTCGTCTTCCACATGGACCGAGAATAATATATTGAGGTATGGACCGTATGGTATTATAATTTTAGCTCCAAGCTACACAGTTACCGAAACCCTGTATTAGAAGAACCGGCCCCCGTCTATTGTTCCAGGGTACCTTCGGAGTGTTCTTCTATTTTTCCAAGCCCCTCGAAAAATTCTTCTTGAGTTTTGAATCTCAAAACTTGAAAATTTTTTCGTTTCTATTGTAAAATTCTGAATTCAGCATATTGAGAGCTTCAAAATGAGCTCAAACACGCCGTGATTCGGTGAGATCTAAAATTTCGGGTGCGTCGCGGTCGTGCGTCGCGTGTTTTGGGCGGAAACCCAAAATCCACCAATTTGCACCGTGTTTAAGCTCTTATTGAAGCTCACAGTCTCATAATTCTGAAATTTTGATTTTTGTGCTGTTTAGGACATTTTGAAGGATTTTATGGTCCCAACCAATTTTGCTCACATTCGAAATTTTTGAAAATTTTCGAAATTTCATTAAAGGGTCCCTTCTGGTACAGGTTTTACTGTAACTTCTTCCGTTCTAATTGGAAAAAGATAGTTTTAATTTCGAAAATTTTCAGAACCTTCGCTGCTCTTGGCTATCGCGCCATTGCAATCGATCTCCCTGGATCTGGCCAAACTCGCGGAGCAGCTTTATCCCAAGCTGATAAACCAACATTCTTGATGGATTTCATAGAAACATTAGGATTGAAACAAGTAATGATTGTCAGTGCTTCAATGTCCGCACAATATGTATTACCACTGATGACTTCGAATAGACATGTAAGTTTTTGAAATTAAGAAAAAAACTGAATTAAATTTTGGGATTTTTAGCTCTGTTGTGTGGTACTTGTGGCTCCCTCAAACACCCATGAAGTTGTAAATCCGTCGAGTTATATCGTGCCAACATTGGTAGTATGGGGTATGTTTCATTCAAATTTAATTCTTACTTTCAACTTTGAGCTTGTTTGTCTCGGTTCCTGTCCAAGATATCAAAAAGTTGTCAACTGACAAACTGTTTATCATAATATACCGTAAAACCGCTAATAGAACGACACCCGGATCGTCCACTTTGAACCTATATATCTCATTTTCTGCAAAAGATATCAAAAAGTGGCTAACTAGTAAAATGTTGCTGATATCCTGATAAACATTTTACTAGTTAACCACTTTTTGATACCTCTCAAAAGAAGTGAGATATATAGGCTCAAAGTGGACGTTCCGGGTGTCGTTCTAAAAGAGGTTTTACGGTAACTAACATTTTATCAGTTGATTACTTTTTAATATCCCTTACAGGAGTCGAGATAAATCGTCTCAAACTTGACGATCACATGTTTTAGTTAGAAACCAAAAACGAAAAAATTTTTTAAAAATTCCAGGCGAACGCGACACCTCTCTCGGCCCAACCGCTGCTGCAAACCTGAAAAACCTTCCATCCGTCAAACTTCAAAAAATCCCAGAAGCCGGTCACGCCTGCTACCTACACAACCCGAAATGTTTCGAAAACTATTGTGTCAACTTTTTTGATTTGATACGCAGCTATCACCGTTAATCACTTCAACACCCCCATCCTGTATATGTGCCATGTGTCCGGTGAACAAATTTTTATATAGTTTTCCTGTTCCCTGCCTTTGTTTTGATCTTGTTCCATAAAATTCACTTCATATAAAACTTTTTCGTTATTCCTGTTGTTTATGCTCAATTATCTTGATTCCTGTGGAAGATATAAAAAAACCGTCCACTGATAAAATATTGCTGATATTATGACAAACTTATTTTCAGTTGAAAAATTTTCGATAGCTCTCATAGGAACAAAGATAATTGAGGTCAAAGTGCAAGTGGGTGGCAAAAGACAACTGGCCTTCTATAAGACTGTTTACGGTTATTGGCGGTGTAAAATTGTGGAATTTTCCATTAAAAACCTTTATTCTATTTAATTGTGTTTAGCCAAATATTTGATCCACTTCTCCCATAATTCCTTTGAAAAAACCTTCTGGATATCCGCTTGAAATTTGCTATAAGTCGCATCAGCTTTCCTTGTCATCTCTTTGCTGCAGCAAGCTGTTTGTAGTAAAGATTATCACCTTGAACCAATACATCAGCAACTTTTTTGCTTATTCCAGCAGCCACAAGTTCAAGCACAGCTTTCTTGGGATCTGGAAAAACCTATATTTCAAAAAAAATTATTAAAAATTTCTTTGGATAACGAACCAATTAGAGTTATTCGTTTGGACGAGCAGATCGCAAGAAGAAACGCAGAGAATATGAAAAGTTGTTTGAACATTTTGCAGTTGCTTGGAAATCGAAATGTTTTGGTTTATATAGGAAACCACTTGAAAGTCATAAAAGTTTGATGATACACCTTTGAAAAACTTTTCGGAAACCAATTTTTTATCGAATAAGCTACAGAATAAAATATAAAAAAGTATTTTCCGTTGATTTTCCGCTATTTTGATCATTTTCAGGAGCCTGGAGCTCGGCTGTCAATTTTCCGATCATTTTGAAAATTTTGGAGGGTGTAAAATAGACCTAGATTGAAAACTTTGCATTTAAGGATTTTTTTGAAAACTCTTAGTTTTTCAGCTATTTGCCTATTCCTAAAGGACACCCGTTTTCATGCGTTTTCAGTACTAAAATGGGTCTTTCAGAAATCGGAAGTTATCTGAAAGACTAGGAGTTTTCAAAAAATTCTGTAAATGCAAAGTTATCAATCCAGGTCTGATTTACACTCTCCCAAACTTTCAAAATGATCGGAAGGTCCTCCTCTTCCCTCTCCCTCTCTTCGCGCACTACAGGCACCATTGTTCGTTGGATCCAGCTTCGATACCATCTCATCCTGATCGCCAGTTGAAACATCCTGTGTCTACACAAGCATCATAATGCCCGGACCACAGGATTTTTCCGCTTTTGTATGTCTTATTGACCGGAACTGCATATGGGGAAAAGTTTATTCAAAGGGGATTGTAAATTTCAAACATTTAAGCCAAAAACTTCTTCCACTTCTCCAACTGCTCCTTTGGCATGATTTTCTCCATTCTAGCTGCGACTTCTTGTACTTCTCTTGAATTTTCTTCAATTTCTCTGCATTTCCGTTTGCTTTAGCGGTGGCCTCATTGACTTTATGTTCGATGGCCACGAGCTTTTCAGCATACTTCTTATCGATTCCAGCCGCTTGAAGATCAGCTAACGCTTGTTTTGGGTCTGAAAAATTTATAGATTTGGGGGAAACTATCTGCCCAGGGTTCCAAAAACCCTTGTCGGAACTCGCGCCCCAGATAATTTTTTGACCAGAAGCCCCAATCTTCACGTTCGCTGGGGCGCGATTTCTGACCAGGCCTTTTGGAACCCTATGATCTTGACTGACCTTCTGGATACGGGCGATTAGCATAGCAGATCACGAAGAAAACTGCGGAGAAGAACAACAGTTGTTTGAACATTTTTGAGGGGGGTTGCTGGAAGCCTTCCAGTGGAAGGTAGGAGGAAACCCAGCGTTTTATAGGTTTCTTGAAGTTTCGACCATAAAATTTTTATCTGGCAAAAAATTAGAAAAAAAGGTTTTCCAGTTTTCCAGCATTTGGACAGTTTGCATTCTCAAATATGACCTGAAATTCGTTTCACAACCACAACACACTCAAATGGAGTGCCACTCAAACCGTCAATTTTGAGCTCGTATATCTCATTTCCTGTGGGAAATTTCAAAAAGTGATTAACTAATAAAATGTTGCTCAGATTATGATAAACATTTTGTTAATTGTCCACTTTTTGATATCTTTTATAGGAACCGAGGTAATTGAGCTCAAAGTGGAAATATGACCTGAAATTCGTTTCTCAACCACAACACACTCTACATAATTGAGTACCGCCCAAGCCGTCAATTTTGAGGTACGGTGAGGTATAAGCAATTTGTTTGTTTAACACTTTTTTATGTTTCCTACAGGATGCGAGATATATAGGATCAAAGTTGACGGTATCTCAATTCCCAAAGAAAAAAATACTCCACACGGCCAACTTTGAGACTGTACATTTCGGTTCCTGTCAAAGATATCAAAAAGTTGTATACTGATAAATTGTTTATCAAAATATCACAAACATTTTATTTTTTGACCGTTTTTTGATATATCTAATAGGAACCGAGATAATAGAGCTCAAGCTTGATAGTGTTATTTTCGATACACATTTTGTTATTTAACCGCTTCATGTGGTTTTCTTTCTACAAACTGAGATACTTTTTAGAATCTAAATCCTTTATTATAGCAAGTAAATAAGTTAAAACCGCAAATTCAGGCAAAGCACTTGTTAAGTCAATAAATAATTTTTTCAAGTTATTCTCCAAAAAATCCAGCAAACGTCCGTTTTAGCTGTTCCATTGTGTCGTCTACATACGACACTGATTCTTTAGAAGCCGTACGTGGGATCGGTGGTGGTGGATCGTAATGATCCTTGTGACGCGGCTCTATCTTATCCGAGAATCCACGTGGCAGATGATGAGAGGAAGTGGATGTGGAAGGTGGTTGAGGAGGAAGGCGTCTGTTGACAGGTGGTGGTCCAGGATGATGACCATTTGCAGAAACTGATGATGTTGGGGAAGTAACTTCATGATGAGACTGTTGATGAGATTGCTGATGAGCTGGAGCATGATGTCCATTTTCCGTTGGTGACGTGGCATTCACTCTTGGAGCCACCAAGGCACGGAGCAGCATGCTAGCTGCTCTCCGATCGTCTTCAGCAGATTCTCCGAAATAGGCTGTAAACCTCAAGTTAGGCTGTTTGAACGTATTTAAGGATTCTCACCGATCACATCATTCACGTCATGCACAAACTCTCTTCCCTCCTTTGACACCAAAATGTCAATAGAGCAAATTTGCATCGCGCCCACATGGTCCGTAATCGCCTTCAAGTACTTTTTGTGTCTCTCACATGTGGCAATCTGTTCCAGCACACTTGATCCCACATTGCTCTTCCAGTGTTTGCATATTCCACGACGTATGAATGTTTTGTACTCATGACCGATTTTTTGGATGTGCAAGTCGTATTTGGCATCGACGAATGGTTGGACTTCAACCTGTAAAGACATGATAGGGATGCCACGTGACATTAGGTACCTCTGTATCCCCTTTTGTCATAATCTGTAACATTCCTTCAACATCACAAAGCTCCTCGTGGTTGTTGACCTTGATTTTTCCGATTCCTTGGAATCCCTCATTCACAGAGACTATCATTGGGTAGGTGGATGCTTGGGATTGGTGCTGAAAAATTGAAAGATTGATTTTTAGTCATTTTGAGCAGTTTCAGAAGTCTGGAGCTCGCAAAAAAGGGTTCCTTCCGAAAAAATTAATTCTCAAAAAATCCTGTAAATGCAAAGTTTTCAACCTAGGTCTGTTTTATACCTTCCAGAATTTTCAAAGAAATGGGACACTTGAGAGCTAAGCTCCAAGCAAAAATTAATAATTAAAAAAAGCTTACAAATTTGTGAAAATGCGGATAGTGCACAATTGGAAGCATTGGGATGGAAGCACCATCCGACAACGTAATCTTCTTCAGTTGCTTCTTCAAATTATTCTTATCTAAAAACGCCACCGCCGAAGTGTGAGAGTTCAAAAATGGAATGTGTGCTGCGATGAATGCCCGAATGATCGTTTTCAACTGTGCACATCGTGTAGCACCGGCGCCCAGAAATACTGCGGATGGGGTGAAGACTCGGATGTCTTTTCCTGGCTGATTGAGCTCTACGGAGCACGTTTTTTCAGTACACATCACATCTAGCTCATCAATGCTCCTTGCTCAACACGAATCGCAAATTCTGTATGGTTCCGGAAATATTTGGACCAATCCACATGGTGGGAGTCTATGACGAGGAGTACTTTGGCGTCTTTCATCATTGGCTCTCCGCGGCTTCTGGAACATAAAGGGTTATCGTTTGAATCCATCCTAGAGATAGGTACTTTGAATAAAAAAAAAAAGCCAACTGTCGCCTTTCCTACAACCTGTAGTAGAAGCCCACCCCACTTAGATCTCATATATCTCGATTTCTGTGGAAGATATCAAAAACTTGTCAACTGATAAAATGTTGGTGGTTTTATGATAAACAATTTATCGGTTGACAAACGTTTGATATCTTTCACAGAAACCGAAATAATTGAGCTCAAAATTAACGGTTTGGGTGTGTTTCTATTAGAAGAAGTACCTACCCATACCGTCAACTTTGACCCTATATATCTCGATTCTAGTGAAAGATAACGCAATTTTGTAAACAGATAAAATATTGGTGATACTATGGTAAACAATTTATCGGTTGACAAACTTTTGATATCTTTCACAGGCATCGAGATAATTGAGCTTGAAGTTATTGGTTTGGGTTTGTTTCTTGTACTCTCATACCGTCATCTTTGAGCTCATATATCTCGGTTCCTGTGAAAGATAACAGAATTTTGTTTTTGATAAAATATTAGTGATCTCATGATATACAAATTATCAGTTGGCCACTTTTTGAGATCTGTCACAGGAATTGAGATAACTGAGCTGAAAAAGGACGTTTCGGCTCCCTATTAGAGGAAATATGGTGATTTTGATCCAAGCCGCATATCTCATTTTAGTGTATTTCAATGAAAATATGACCAACTACAAAAGTGTATCTTTGGTTTTAAAAAACCAGTTTTTTCTTTTTGATTTAGATTAATCTATATATGTTCAACTCACCTATCATGATTGAGTGATCTCTCCAGTGCGGCTGCAAGCGATTCCCTGGACTTGGCAGGTGATGTTGGGGCACTGAAAAGCTTCGAATTCATCGAATCTGGGGAGAAGAATAAGACGAAAGAAAAGAAATATGAATCACATGTTATCTCGGTTTCCATAGAAATATGTATGGAAAGGGGAGACAATTCGATAAACGACAATAATTTGAATTTCTGGTGATGTCGTCTTTGTTTTTCCCACGATTTCTTCTCCTTTTTCTCGGAGAGACAAACCCCACTACAATTTTAATGAATGCTTTCGAGGGGCATACACATTTTCCTAAACAAATAGAAAAAAGAGACAACATTTTGGATTTATTTAAAGTACCAGCCTGTTTGGTGCTAGCTGTTAACTTTAAATATCATCTAAATTTTTTCAGTTGGCAGATTTTTGATATCTCTCGCAAGGACCGAGATATACAGGCTCAAAGTTGACCCTTCGGTGTAATTTTTCTACACCCTTAAGTGATTGAGATACCTTTCACTTTAAACCAATTTATCTCGGTCCTTGTCAAAGATATGAAAATGTTGTCAACTGATAAATTGTTTATCAGAATATCATCTGAATTTTATCAGTTGGCAGATTTTTGATATCTTCTACAGGAACCGAGATAATTAAACTCAAAGTTGGCGGTAACTTGAGAGAGTCGAAAACTAACCTAATCGTGTTTGAAACCTTATTGGCTATGGATTGAAACGAGAAGGAGCTCGGCGGGCCAGTGTTGACATCATCCATCGGCTCACCCTCATCTTCGGAGAATGAGAATTTTCGCTTGAAAAAATTCATTTTCTCCTTGTTCTTCTTCTTCCTGAAACAACACAAAAATCGACAAAGTCAGAAAAGCAAATTGAGAAGGACGTCAGGGGGCAAAAATCAGCAATTTTAAGCAAAACAAAAAAAAGGAAATTTCCCCAGGGACCCGAAAAAAAAAACAAAAAACCCCATCCCAAAATAATTGGGAAACAAAAAAAAAGGGGGGATGATTTTAACCAAAAAGAAGTGCTGGGGTGGGGACAAAATATTCATGAAATGTGCATGTTTTGCTTTTGAAGGAAAGGAAGAAATTGTGTGTCTGGAGAGAAAGAAGGGAATTCTAAGGAATTGAGGAAAAGATCCAGAGGAATAGAGAAACAGAGTAAAAAGGGAACTCTCTTTCTGTTTAAAGCATCAGTTGAAAAGCACAGAACTCTTTGGAGGAAATACCATGAGAAGAAAGGGAGGGTGGTCCCATTGGGACGAATCCGGGCAGTTAGAATTTAAAATGTGATGGGAAGGAATTAAGAGGACTTGAGCTATGTTTGAGCTTTGAGAGAGAGAGAGAGAGAGAGAGAGAGAGAGAGAGAGGGAGAGAGAGAGAGAGAGAGATAAGAGTTAGGAGTGTTCCTGGAGCTCCAGGTTGTCCAGAATTTTCTGGGCTGGTTCCAGTAGGTCCTTGTTGTACCTATGAACCTGGTTGGCATGGTTGGGTATCTTCAATCTTGGCTTTTTAAATCGAAATTATCCTCTCAAAACTGGAAAAATTCTTTTCTTTTTTGTACTAAAAACACTGGGCCAGCTGATCAAATTTGATTTTCCCGCTAATAAAAAAATCCCATTTCAGAAGTAAAAAATATTATGTCAACCGTGTTGCCGCTCCTAGAGGGCCAACCCTATACATGCACTTTAAGCATAGTTGCGACGGCCCGGCCAGTTGGCGCCAGCTTCGATTTTTAGGCAAAAAAGTGTGTTTTTATCATCTAATTTTAAGCTAAATTGTAAATATTGGATTTTAAAATGTTTAAACAAATTTTTGAAAAATAATTTTTTTCCTGAATTTTTCCAAAGTTGAGATCGAAGAAAAATTGCATTTTTGAAGCAAAATAACAGTCTTTTTTTCAAAAACTAGTTTTTTGTTGAAAAATTCTCAAAAATTCATCAAAAAAAATTGTTTTTGAGAAATTTCGACCAAAAAATACCTGTCCGGGCCTTCCGGGCCGGGCCGGGCCTTCAACGATTTTCGCAAGTATGACTTTAAGCTCTATCTCGATTCTTTCAAAGGATATCAAAAAAGTGATCAACTGACAAAATATTGCTAACATTATGCTAAACATTTTATTAGTTGACTACTTTTTGATATCTTCCACAGGAACCGAGATATTTGAGATAACTTGAAGGTTTGAAAGCCACACAACAAAACAAAAAGTCAAGCTCAAAACGAAATCGAATGGTTTACGGCTTCTTGGAGAGTTTGAAATCTAAAAAGCAACTAGTAAAAATGGGCGTGGCTTATCAACAAAAAAAAACTTTTAAAAAGGAAGAAGGACTCCGAAAAAGTTGTGCTCCGAGTATTGATGACAATGCTAATGAAGTTTGTGTTAATCTTGTCAAGTTTCGTGTAAGAGGGTGTTTTCAAGGAAATGAGAAAAAAGAATGGCACTAACGCCATTTTTTTCATTAAGTCAGGAAGTGAAGGGAAGAAATTGGAACCTTTTGTCTGAAAATGGGTTTCAGGGTTTCTGGTTTTAAACTGACCAATTAAAGAGGGGCTGTTCAAATCCTAGAGAAATTCACTCTGTTTCAGATCTGGTCAATATATTTTCCCCCAAACCTCTTGATCGATTTTTCGCGTTCTCTAGACTTTACTTCTAAAAGTCCAAAAAAAGAAGAAGCCGTAAAAGAGGGGATAATCTATTGGCGAAGAGTGAAACATAAGAAGATGCGCTCCGAAAGAAGAAGGAAAACGAGAAGAGCGTATAATCCCGTAAAGTCGAAATGTTATACTGCCCCCTTTTTAGTTGCAGGAAAAGGGACCAAATCCAAAATTCACGAGAACGAGAGATCATGGAACCTGAAGAGAGTGCTAGAGAAAAAGATGAAAAACGAAACAAAATCAACGAGTTGGGGAGGGGAAGGATTGGAAAAGAAGAAGTGACATTTTTGGGATGTGTTGGAAAAAGAGGAAATTGGAGGAGGAGCAAGAGAATCTGAGATTTTTATAGGGATGTGAGATGTACATAGATAAGAAGAAAATCGAGAAGGCGTAAAATCTGTAATAGAAGGGCCCTTGATTTTGAACCAATTTATCTTGCTTCGTGTCAAAGATATGAAAAATGTGTCAATTGTAACTTCCTTCAAACTCAATATTTTTTCAAAAAAAAGTTACAATTGGAAAATGTAAATATTAAAAAGATCTATACAATAAGATATTGAATTAATTTAAATTTTCTACTAATCACAGAAGAGACAAGAACTAGGCAAAGCAGGTGCTGACCCTAAAAGAGAGCATTGACAGGGCGTCAGACTCGTAACTTTCTTCAAACTCAATATTTTAGACTATTTTAAATTGGATATTGAAAAGATCTATAAAATGGTATACAAATTAAATAAATTTGAGTATATTTATTATTACACAAGAGCTAAGAACAAGGCGACCCTGAAAGAAGGAGATCCTTCTATTACAGGTTTTAGAGTAATTTTGTAAAAATGTCTCAAACGAAGTTATCATGGTCTGAAAATGCTCAATATTTCGGGAATTTTCGTTCTATTTTTGAGTCTAAAAATCTCAATTTTATGGAATTTTTAGGCTGTTTTAGAGCCAAAATGCCAAAGAACAACTCCAACCAAATATTACTTTTTAGCTCCTCAGTCCTACACAAACTCCTTTGCTCCAAAAAACTGAAGCGTGTATATTGCCGGACACAATGATTGATGCTTGTCTTACATTAGCTTTTTTCCTTTTTCCATGTTCTGGAAAACCTATAGAAGTCTTTTTGTTTTTTAATGCTCTACTATACAGGATGACGCATAAAATGTGAGTGAAGCGTAGTACTGAGCTAAAATTTGGAGTGCAAAAGTTCAAACAATTTATCTGTAACCTGGCCAAATTTCAAAGTAATTGATCAACTTTGAGCTGAGTTATCGCTTGTCAAAGTTTCTTGAAAGTCCAGGTGCTGCTGCTGGCCGTCCTGGTTGTCCACTGGTTCCGGTTGGTCTTCGTGGCCCTGGTGGGCATGGATTGTATGGTGAGATGACTTGCACCTCGCACACAGTTTGTGGACGTCCTGGAATTCCTGGCCTTCCTGGTGCTCCTGGGATTCCTGGCTTTCCGTTGCGTCCTGGAAGTCCTGGACGTCCTGGGTGACCTGGTTTACAGCATCCTGCGCATCCGACGGCTTGAAGCTGGTTACTTCATCATTGAATCTTTGTAAAAAATACCTGCAGCTTTGAATCAAATGTAAAATTATTTTTTTAACCAATTTTTGTGCTTCCAGGACACTCGAGTCTAAAGATTTTATCAGACCCTGTAAACAGAGAATATAATAAACAGTGTTTGACCAGAATGTGATGTTTTATGGGCACACAAAAATATAGTACAGACACACATACAGACTGAAAAAGAGACAAAAAAGAAGAAAGGCAATAGATAAATATTATCACCCGAACCCGGAGAAGAACGGCGGCGCTGGATGGTTAGGGGGAGAGGAACTGGGGCGGTGGAGAGGGAAGACGGTGGAGTTTCGACACGACGTCTTCAGGTCGTGTTGATGCTGATGCCAACATGACGAAGATGACGATGGTGACGTGGCAAGAGGAGACTAGGTGAATAAAATAATAGGAATAATAAAAGCTGGAGTTGAAGAAAGCGTTTATCGGCGAGTTCCATCCTCGAAGAAGACTCCTCCATCGAGAGCGCAGTATTTAGGGCAGATTCCTGGAATAAAGTGATTGAAGCTAAGATAATCGAAGCCAAAGGTTCGGAGGTGACTTTGACCATATATACCGTACCACCTGTATTATAATGTCCCCTTTAAAAGAAGGCACTGCCCTTCTAATACAGGTTTTACAGTATCTTAATCCGTAGAAGAGACAACAAGTGATCTACTAATAAAAAATACGTTACCTCTCTCTCCTTGTGGTCCTGGAAGACCTGGTTGTCCTGGTTTTCCTGGTGGTCCAGCTTGTCCAGCGTTTCCTGGTGGTCCTGGTGGTCCTGGTGGTCCGGACTGTCCTGGTTGTCCATCTCTTCCTGGTGCACCATCGTCTCCTGGAGCTCCAGTTGCTCCAGCATCTCCTGGATTTCCTGGCTCTCCTGGAGTGGAAGGCGTCGATTGAGCCGGTCTTCCAGGCTCTCCCTTCTCTCCATCGTTTCCTGGTGCTCCTGGATCCCCAGATGCTCCGTTTGGTCCAACTGGTCCAGGTGTTCCTGGCGCTCCTGGTCGTCCTGGATTTCCTGGACGTCCTGGTTGTCCACTGTTTCCAGTTGGCCCTTGTGGTCCTGGTGGTCCTGGTGGGCATGGATTGCATGGTGGGATGTCTTGCTCCTCGCACACAATTGGTGGACGTCCTGGAGTTCCTGGCCTTCCTGGTGCTCCTGGGATTCCTGGCTTTCCGTTGCGTCCTGGAAGTCCTGGACGTCCAGGGTGACCTGGTTTACAGCATCCCGCGCATCCGACGGCTTGACGCTTGTTTCGAATCGTGGTCAGGTTGCCAGCGATGGCGGCGGCAATTGGCTTCTTATGACTGATTTCAGACATGATATCTCTGGCGGTCGACTGTAATAATCATTATGATAGGATTACACAGATATCTCTCTGTATTATCCCCGCTTGTCGCCACCGTGTCAAAATGTTATGCTAAGGGAATAAGCATGTATGAACCGGTTGTTGCGCAAGCGGTCATACCGCTGGAACGGTGCGGGGACAGGTGAGAATGGATGGATGAATCAAAGGACTTACTTTACAGAAAGTCATGTCTCGTTTCGTTTGTTGGTGAATTGAGTCCACGAAGTTGTAGACGATTGGCATTGAGATACATACTGGAAAAAGTTTTTTTAGAATTTGGAAGAGTCAAAAAGTCAATTTTTGGGTTTAAACTTTTTTCAGATCTTAAAGATTAAACCAGGTCTTTCAGAAATGATAAATATTTGATTAAAAATGACTTAGTAGTAGTTACTACGTAATTTTTCAATTGTGGTAAAAGTAAGATCGAAATGGTAGAACCCATATATCTCGCTTTCTGTGAAAGATATCAAAAAGTGATAAACTGATACAATGTTTGTGAGATTATGATGAATAACTTATCACTTTATAAATTTTTGGTATCTTTTACAGGAATCGAGATAATTGAGCTCAAAATATGGTATGTAATTTTTTTAGATCCTTTTTAAAGTTTTGCTCGAAATGATAAATTTAAATACGTTAAAGGTTTGGGTCCCACAAAAAATTATAGATAAATTAAGTCAAATTTGATATAATTTCAAGTTATTATGAAAATTCGAAACTTAGGAAAATACATAAAAGTATACGGTCAATGCATACCGTATTTCCTCTGATAGCAGTGAAGAACAAACTCTCAACTTTGAGCCTATGTATCTCATTTTCTGTTGAAAATATCAAAAAGTGGTCAACTAACACAATATTTTTCAAATTACCATAAATATTTTTTTAGTGCAATTACTTTTTGATATCTTCTACAGTAACCGAGATATATAGGCTCAAAGTGGACACTTTAAAAATTTGAAAAAAAAAACGCTCACCTGAGAGAATAGCGAGAAATGAAAAAGTGACTGCCGAATAGGTGACAGCCTTATAGGCTTTCTCTCGTGTATCCTCCATACCCTAGAAGTGATAAGGTGATTAGATAGTTGATTACCGTAAGAAAGCGAAACTTATATACAAGAAGGAAAAGGTATTTCGAATTCGGCGGGCAAAATGTATTTATATAGAAAGTGGAAGAAAAAAAAAGAGATTCAAAAGGCGGGGTTACCAAAGAGGTAGTTTCAGAAATACGCCACCTCACAGATGTACTTGAAGACGGGGGATCGCTCGTTCGAATGGGCGGGGCTTCTGGAGACCGGATGACGGTTATATATGAGGTGTGTGTGGTCGCGGACGCGGAACCGCGCGCCTTCTGTGTTGCGCATCTAGCGGGAAGAAGAAAAAGGAGAAGAAGAAGATGAAGACGTTGCCACGGGGCGCAAAAAAATGAAACAGAGTGGAGAAAACGACAGTAACCTCTTGGCACTTTCCTTTCCGTTGTCTTATTGCCCTCTTCTGATGATGACTGTGGCAAAAAGGGGAACAGGGAAGTGTAACCATAAGGGGGCCTCTGGATAAAGTTGTAACACCAAAACGACAACTATTTTTTTTAATGGTTGGCTTTTGATATGTGTCTAGGGATGAAGGAGAACGTAATAGGATTGGAAAAAGGAACGAGGTATATAAGAAGCGGAGAATGTGTTACAAATTTGAGGTTTAACCCCTCCAAGGTTCTGGAACGTTCCATAAATGTGAAAGTACAGATTTTCAAATTGGACAATTCCGATCTACTTCAAATTGGACAAATTGGACGATCTGGAAAACTATAACTGGATAAGGAATCAAGAACGTTAAACTCGAGATTAACAGATTCTGGAACTTCGTGGGATTCAAAAATTTCGGAAAGTTTAGAATTTTGAAAAAATATAGCTCCTGTGCATCCGTATGGCTCCTGTAAATCTATATGGGACGTCCTTATAGTCCATATTGTCATGGAACTTCGTAGGTATCCAGGTTTCCGGAAATTCCAGAATTCTGAGATTTGCGCGTTCTGGAACGTTCCATAAATGTGAAAGTACAGGCGTTTCAAATTGGACCACTTCGATATACTTCAAATTGGACAAATTGGACTACCTGGAAAACTATAACCGAATGATGAAGAAACCTGGAAGGTTCCATCAGGATTCCAAGGATTAGGGAACTGTGGG